TGATACCATAGGTGGTTTATCCACAATTAAACCTTCAGTTCACATGCTGTTTTCATATGCATTTTTAACTTTTATTGATATAGGGTTTGGATGGCCTGATGATGAAAGGCCGTACTGTGATTGGAATTAAAAGAATGGGCGAACTTGATGAGAAGCCTTTTCAAAATGCATGCAAGAAGAAGTTTCAAGAAGATGTCGATATCAAAGCTCTAACATTGTGTTCTGAATGGCAAGAGAAACTGAAGAATCCATCATGGCATCCTTTCAAGATTGTGGAATCTGGCGGAAAAGCTGAGGTATATTAATATAAAGCAGAACTTTCTATAATAGCCATAGATTGCATATGTATGCAGCTTGTTATTGAAGAAGCTACTTATGTTCTTAAGCGTGAGAAATGCTTGCATTCTTTTCCCCAGAACTAGTCAGTGGTCAAGTTAGATTAGATATTTGAGTTCTTTGTGCATGTTAATTGCGGGCCTCCTGCACCCCCCCCACCCCCCAAACCCCCCACCCACAGCTAAAAAAAACAAAAAACAAAACAAAAAAACAAAAAAAAAACCCCAAAAAAATGTACCATGTGAAATCTTTTTGGCTCTTTTATCCTCATGTCTATTTTTGGGGTGTATTTTTGACAAGAAAAGAAGTTCTCTTTCTCTGAGGGTAAATGAGCTGGAAAGAAGTTCAGAGGGTCTATCCGCAATTAGGCAATAGTACAGGGCTCTATTTGTAATTAATTCAGACTTTAAATGCTTATGTTTTACACAATACAGAGACGTAGCAATCCTTTTTCCATTCTCCTAACATTTGTGTTCGAACACCTTCTGTTGTCGGTTTCATGCAAATGATCCAGTTTCTTTCCGAACCTTGATGCTGCAGGAAGTGATAGATGAATCGGATATAAATTTAAAGCATATATGGATTGAGTGGGGGGATGATGTATATAATGCTGTTAAGACAGCTTTGCTTGAAATAAATCAGTACAATCCCAGTGGAAGATATGTGATACCAGAGCTATGGAATTTTAAAGAGAACAGGAAAGCAACAGTGAAGGAGGTCGTCCAATATCTCATAAAGCACTGGAGGAGTCTCAAGAACAAGCGCTGATGGTAATGTCCTGTAATCATAATTCCATGAAAATTACATGGAACTACCTTTTCCTGAGTTGGCCTTTGCTAGTCACAAATAGATGATGGGGTTCTTCTTTTGTCTAATGATCGATCATATCTCTTGATTCTGGCAGGGAGATCAAGTCATGGAGGATTAAGCGAAGCTTATGCTGTATCGACTGCCGTGTTGGGGATTTAGGAGCCATGATAAACTGTAGAACTGTGGGTTAAGAACACTCATAACTTCTGATTTTTGTGTTTAATTTATGTACCACCCTCTTTTAGTACTTTTCGCAAAAGACTTGCTCTCCTCTGGTTCTACGACGAAGAAACTTCACTCATGGTTGAGGTTCTGCATGTTCCCTTGCTGTGAATCCTTCTCTCTGGAGATCCAAACTTCAAGCTGGTGAAAATAAAGAGTGCAAGAGCCTGCGTTGCATTTTCATTCATCTTATTACTTCTGCTGTTTCTTACCTTCCGACATCTGTGATAATATAATTTCTATACTAAAAACCTGTAATCTTAAAAGGTTCTCCATCTCCCAACTACCAACAGCGAAACACAGAATCAGGGTTCTTTATACGGGTGGTTATATCATGTTCATTGATTTATTTGCACAATGACAAGCTTGTGTTTCAGAGTGGAGGACCCATTTACCAAAAGAGTCACCTCGGTAGAAGAGAAGGCCAGGTGCTGTGAATGAGTCAAATTGACATAGAGCACTCCGTTTGACCGTCTTATTTTAATCTCGCAATTATTGCTACAAGAGCTAAAAATAATAATTTTAATATACAATCCCATGAAAAATGAAAAACACTATAGGCACACCCTCTACCACACCTCTAGTCACACCTCCTCTCTACAGTACAGGGAGTCCCACCTGAGATTTTTAAAAAAATCTCAGATGGGACCCCTGCATTGTAGAGGAAGAGGGGTGTGACCCATGAAAAATTGCCCGAAACGGGTAAGTAGCCGACAGGGTGCTACAGTCGTATTTTTACAGTAATAAGATTTAAGAATTTTTAGTACATCACTTCACCCGTCACTTTTCATGGAACCGTACCGGGTGACAGGTGCAGCTCACGTGCCGCCCTTCACCCCATTTCCATCAAAATCTCCAAAATATCCAAATCATCATCGTATAAATAATTGCTCGGAATCGTAGGAAATTTCAGTAAAGTTTTAAGTAATAATAGGCGCTCAAATCCAAAAATCCAAAAAAAAATATTCAGATGAAAATCAGCATCCAAAACTTTTTGTTAAATTCACTCCTCTACCAAACAAAAGTTCACTCTATATCCACTGGCGGGTGAATGCTGCATCCTATTAACGGGCGTGATGATAACAAATTTGCGCTTAAAGCGAGGAACGGTAAGTCCGAGCATTTTTAACTCTCCCTCACTCACTCTCTCACGAGAGAGAGCGAGAGTACGGAGTCTGATATTTTCTTTCCATTTTGGGGTAAAATTTCTGCGAAAATTTTCTTTAATTCGTTGTATTTTCGCTCAAAATAGCATCAGATCTCAGATATTTTCCTTCTATTTTCTGCTAAAAATCTCAGTCGATAGTTCGGAATGCTGCTTTCTTGTTTCGGATTAGGGCTAGTTCTAGCAATCGAGCTTATATTGTGATCCATGAGATCGAGCTTCTGTTTTCATTCAATATCTACTTGTTCGATCTAAGATTAGTGAGATCGGCAAGAAATTGGAAATATATTGGTAAAATCAGTGGATTCTTTGAGTTTTTGTAGGCTGCGAGCTCATATTCTCATTTCTGGTGCGTTTGAACTCTATTTCTTGCCTTTTCCAGTTTATCTTGTTTTGAATTGTTGGATTAGAGATTATTTTGGTGGACTAAATTTTCTAGTCCAATTAATATTCATGGATGATGCTTAGATTCGGTTCTTGAGGGTTTGGTGTTTGTTGAAGTAGTTCAATGCTAAATATGATGCGGATGCTTCTTGATTCATGAACGTTTTTGTTATTAAGTGTGCATCACCGGTTTTATGTTAATCTTTTACATGCATATTTTTCTACATGAAGGAAAAAGAACACGTCCAGATTAGAAGTAAGTGCGTGTAGTGAGATTCAGGTATTTCCCTTTTAAAGTGAGCAGTGAAAAAGTAAGTGTTGGGGAAACCCCAGTGCCGAGATCCAATACCAATCGCCGAGAGAAGATAAACAACACACCAAAGATAGCACAAACACAAGATACACCAGATTTTACGTGGTTCGACGAGATGCCTACGTCCACGGGGCAAGAAATGGGGAGTTTTCATTATTAAAAATCAAGAGGAACAAACTAGGGTTACAAATCTCACAAAAACCCTCAACAATCACTCTTGATCTCTCCCAAATGCTCCAACAATAGAAGCCCAAGAAATCCCCCAGGTCGACCGCGATCCATCGCGGTCGACCGCCACGGTCGACCGCCCTCAATCCCAGAACAGCCTCAAAATCCAGAAACTTCTGCGGTCGACCGCCAACGGTCCAGACGCACAGTAAACCCTATGCACGAACGCGGTCGACCGCCAGAATCCCGCGGTCGACCGCTAGCCTGCCAAACAGCTATTCTGAGCCATCAACTGTCAATCCTACAATAAGTTTGATGAACTTAAGGCTTCTAGATAATGTGGGGATGTGGTGCATGAAACGATCGATGGACTTATTGTTATACTGGATTATTTGCTTTTTTCAAGTGCGAGGAAAGAAAAAATTATGTAACGTAGCTATTGCTTATGGCAACACGTAAACAGTAATCACTAGTTTGCTTGCCTACAGTTTTCCTGTGCATGGGTGGAGGAAACCTTTTATTACTGTTTAAGCTTCCTAAACCGGTTGTGCCACATAATGAGGAACACTTCACAGCAGCCAGATAATAAATAATGAATTTGGTTATGAACAAAAATCACAAAAGTCACAAATTTTGGTTGGATCTAGTATAAATTGAGCTTCACTTTTAAGATGTGTACTATTTCGATTATTGTTGGTTGTGGATTTTTCAGTATTCGAACAAGGTCTATGTCCAAATTGCTACTAGTTTGCCGCCATATGTTGTTGAATATTGCGGATTGTTGAAGTTTGTGAGCCAAATTTGGCTGTGCTTCTCTGGAAATCAGAATTGAATTTCGTCTGCTATTATAAGAACATCATCTGAAAGCTTGAATTTATTGTTAAAATGGAACCATTTAATTGTTGTCTTACTCATGATTTTGACATATCATGGTTACTTTGGCAAGATGTTCTGTGGGGATGTATATACAGATGCCCTCCCCCACCCACACACACACCTAGAACAGCACTCCCACCCCCCAACAACACACAGACACACAAACACACACAAATACTGGTCATTAGCCTTTAGTTCCTAGGATTTCTATCCTGACAATAGCCACTTCAATTGTCTCATCTTACCAGCTTGTTTGTTTCTAGTTTGTTGTAGAATTTTGTGTATCATGGCTTCTTTTAACTCTGGAATCGGATGATTGCAACCTTCTTTCAAGATATGCAAATAAATGCTTGTATAAACAAAAGTGTGCAAGCTTTGATGACCAAAATTAATAAAGTTAAATTATATAATTTTTAATCACTCTTAAAGTAGGTTTACATTTTAAGGAATGTACTTGAAAGTGCTCATTGCAATACTCTCCTTTGTAGGATTGCATTTCATGTGTATTTTATGAGTCTATGGTTTTGTGATACTCAGCTGTAAAGATTGCCTTGAACTTTTAATTTATTTTTACTGTTTTTCTTTTACCATTCTATGGCTTTCAACTACTAGCACTAACACGTGCAATGCCCTGTTTTTCTTAGTGATAGTCTGGTAGATATCCATCTAATCTTTTATCTGCATAAGCTTTTTGTAAAACTATATGCTTTATACTGAATCTATCCTAGTCCAAGAGTGAATGAATCTAAAGCAGTTCAAAAACCTGAATATATTTTGGAATCAGTTTGTTTTCTATGTATTTTGTATTGCATAAAAGGATAGTCTCCCACAGCAGGGCTTATTGCTCGTGGAGGGGCCATTTTATTTGGGGTGATGGGGTTATTAACCATGGTTTGGTGAATGAATATTCGACAATATGAGGAATAAACCACAGCATATGGAAGTTTTGCACCTTTCTTCATATGGTTTATTAATTTGCAATTTTGGATGGTGTATTGCTAGACATAGGTTCCAATAAACATTTTATTTAGATCATAGGCATATCCTTTTGGAGGAATATCATGAAGAAACCACTTTGTCCTGATGTCATAATTCTTGCTTAGGATCTATTTGGCTTGATTTATATTACTTAAAATGAAGCTGTATAACTTAAACTACGGCAGCGCCTTGTGTCAAATTTACTACAGTAATCTTTCTTGAATCAACCTACCTGTTGATGATAAATAAACAATTATATATGGTGTTAGATATGTCTATTATTTATTGGAATTCCATATATGCCTGTCATCATGTATTACTTGTGGAAATCTATGTTATGGAAACCACATAATAGGATTGTGAATTATGTGCAGTAAAGTGTATATGATCTGATTTCTTTGATACTCATCATTACTCGATAATCAGCTGCCTTCCATCTTGGAGTAAAATATGGCATCACTAAGGTACATAGTTTTGTATATCCAAGTATTTGCTTTCCAATTCTACTATCTTAGTTCGATTGGTTCTTTGCCCCAAGGTAGTTGTGCTACCTTTCCATCGGGTGACAGAGTTCTGTTTGAATACTGCATGACAATGTGAGTGGATTTACTATGTAGTTCAATGATGTTGAGAAGCATGCGCTCCAAATTCTCCACTCTGTCGCTTATTTTGATCTATATAGAATCAGAAAAGATAGTCTTTTTTATCCCATTTCAGTTATTTCCTTGGGACAATTGTTCTAAAAATTGTTGTTTTCTGATAGAATTTTATTTAACAACCAGCACGGAGAACTGAGCAGTAACTACTGTAGATGACTCTCTATTTGAACAACTATTAAATGTCATGAACTGAACGTTCTATTCTTCATTGCTAATTTTCATTCTTGTTGGTTCAGGATCAAACTTGAGCCCAATTGGTTCTCAAGAAAATCAGCTTACCTATATTTTATTTTTCAGGTGTCGATAAACTTGAGCATTCTTGGCGTTCCATTTCACTTGCTCGGGGTCTGCAGGTTGCTGTTCTGCTGTAAGTTATCATCTGGCATGTTGGCCTTCATGACTGTTAACTCTGTTAGCATATCGTCTAATGGTTCTACTCAGGATTTATTTTGTTTGTTCTACTATTGTCTCAGCTTACTCAGTTTCCATGGATAGCTCAGGAGGAGAAGCATCTGAGATAAGTGATTCTGAGATAGATGAGTATGAGGATAAATCATACAAATGCCTTAAGAGCGGTGAACTTAAAGTACAAATATCAGACAACTCTTACAAGTGTCCTTTTTGTACGGGGAAAAAGAAACAGGACTACCGTTACAAGGAATTATTTCAGCATGCAAATGCAATCGGTACATCGTCTAATCGCGGAGCAAAAGTGAAGGCCAAACATAGAGCTTTAGCAAATTACATGAAGAATGATATTGATGAAACAAGCTCATCTTTGCAGTTGATGGTTGTAGCACCTGAGCCTCCTGAGCCAGCAGGGGAAGATATTTTTATGTTTCCTTGGATGGGTATACTAGTCAATGTTCCAACTGAGTGGAAGGATGGTAGATATGTTGGCGGAAGCGGAACTAAGCTGAAAGAACAGTTGTCTAGATTTCATCCCTTAAAAGTTACTCCTCTATGGAACTATAGAGGTCACACTGGTAATGCAATTGTCAGTTTCAGCAAGGACTGGAGTGGCTTTAAAGATGCAATGGCATTTGAAAACAATTTCGAAACCAAGCATTTGGGTAAAAATGATTGGTATGAGAAGAAGCACCATTCGCCTGAGATATATGGATGGGTTGCACGAGCTCATGATTACAATTCTGGGGGTCCAGTAGGGGAGTTCTTGCAAAAAAATGGAGATTTGAAAACTATAACTGATCTTACAAATGAAGAATCCCGGAAAACAGACAAACTTGTAGCAAATTTGGCTAATGAGATTGAGATCAAGAATAAACATTTACAAGACTTGGAATGCAAGTATAATCAGACAAATTTGTCCCTTGATAAAGCAATGGAAGAGAAGGAGGCGCTACTTCAAGCTTATAATATAGGTACGTGCATTGTTTCCTTTCTTCAAGAATAGTGAATGTACAGAACTGCTACCCAGTTAATCTATTTGACAATATACCCTGTATTTTCTCAGTTGCGTTTATTTATACAAGGGGCAGATTTTGCAGGACCTAGTGAAATTTCATTATGCAATTGCAACCTCAAACATTTCTAATGCATTTTAAACATCACAACTCACTGGCAGTCAAGAAAACTGTTCTTTTCATGTCTTGACGTCTAGTCATATAGTCATCCTTCATGCAGTCATTTTTAGTTCTAGTGGACCCCTATCTAGTTTTTTTTCCTTTTCACAGAATGATATCTATAACTGTTCGTAAGATTTGCAATTATTTGTGGTCTTAGAAATACAGAAGATGCAATGCCTAGCTCGGGATCATTCCCGACGGATATTTGAGGAGAATGAACGTTTACGGTCACAGTTGGATTCCAAACGAAAGGAACTCGATGATAGATGTAAGCAACTTGACAAGCTGGTTGCTCAGAGTGACATGGAGAAGAGCAAACTGGCTGTTGAGAAACAGAAGGTAACAATCATCTTCAGTTCACTGTACCTATTGTATCTCTAACTGAAATTAGAGAACTACCATTAACACTACTGCATACATGATTAATTTGCGCGACTTCCAAATTACACTATTATTTTATAGTATAGTATTGGCTTCAGATGGAAAAAAGATAGTCAGCTCAGACAAATTGATTTTAAACTCGTCTTTTTCCTGATAGTGGGTGCATGATGGTATTAACTGGTTTAATCACCTTATTCTTATTGTTTTAAGTGGATGCTAAGAATTTTGTATGCGAGGCTAAGGTGAGTCTTGTTATGGAACTGTGTATTTCACAAGTCAATACTGCCCTGTTATATGTAACATCTATAGCGTAACTTAAATGTGAAATTTACTGACAAATTTCTATATTTGATGGGGATGCAAGTTTCTGTGTTTTGCTTCTGTGCATTCGAAACCCTTTTCAAGTTAAAAAGATGTGTATGGAGCTGCTTATGTCTGTATAATCACAAATCTTTAAGTTACCCTCAAAATGAAAATATGATGTTTTAGCAGGTAAGAAAATTTCACATTTAAGTTATGCTATACATATAACAGGGCAGTATTGACTTGTGAAATACGCAGTTCCATAATAAGACTCACCTTAGCCTCGCATATGAAATTCTTAGCATCAAATTGTTGTCGTAGCTTGTGGACAGTACTAGAACTAGTAGCAATATCTATGAGCTGCTTGCTCCTGCTGTGATAGTTAAAAAAAAAATTATTGTACTGCTTGATATTTTTTATTAGAAAAAACTTCGTAATGGCTGTGTGTCTCAAGATTAAACTCAGAAGAGGATCTATTGATATATAATTTTTTATGTTTCTCAGCTTTCATTTGGAAATTTGTAGAAGACATATGCATATTAACTTGATGTCGCATCAACTGTTCAAGCCAATTGTATATTATTTTTTCCATCATCTAAGTTTTGAGTGAAAAACTAGCTGTCATTGATTCAATCTCTTACTATTCAATGCTAGTATAAAGAAGGAAGGTACATCATTTATTATATATCATATAATATAGTGAAAGCCTAATTCTACACATAATTGAAGATTATTTATCTGCTTTTACTCTATGATGTCGAGCAAACCACCCTGCAGGTATATATACTGACAGTAGAAAAACCTTGGCTTTGTATATCTTCTATTCAAATGTGCTTTTTCACCTGCAGAATGCAATGAGAAATAGCTCACTTGCAATGGCATCCCTGGAACAGCAAAAAGCTGACGAAAATGTCTTGAAGCTCGTTGAAGAACAGAAGGTTCATTATTTCGACCTGATTTTCTATGTAGAACTTTATGAAATAGTCTAGTCATTCTAAAATTGGCAAAAACCGTCATCTGACTGAAATTTAAAAATGCACAGAAAGAAAAAGAGGCTGCACTGAACAAAATATTGCACCTGGAAAAGCAGTTGGATGCAAAACAAAAACTAGAACTGGAAATACAACAGTTGAAAGGAAAATTAAATGTAATGAAATATATGGGAGGGGAAGACGACACTGGCGTCAAGAAAAAAATGGAAGAAATGAGCGAGGAACTGCAAGATAAAATTGAAGAAATGGAAGGCCTGGAAGCTCTTAATCAAACTCTAGTTGTCAAAGAGCGGATGAGCAATGATGAACTTCAAGATGCTCGTAAAGAACTCATGACAGTATGGGATTGTTCATTTATTTGTTAGTTTCTTGTTTCCTCTAAATAAGGATCTGCTGACATTTTTAAAAAAAAATAGGTTTTAACTGACATGTTGAGCAATCGTACTTTGATTGGAATAAAGAGGATGGGCGAACTTGATGAGAAAGCTTTCCAAATCGCATGTAGACGCAAATTTGCAAAAGTTGACGCAGATATCAAAGCTGCAGTGTATTGTTCAGAGTGGCAAGAGCATTTGAAGAAACCAGATTGGCACCCATTCAAAGTAATTACTGATGGTGACAAGATTCAGGTGAGATATATTATCTCAAGATGTGAACTAGTGCAGTCAAGCTCATCGTGTACAACTATATGTTATTAAACTACTATTGTAGCATTCATGAACATCAAAACCTGGTCATCATGTTCTTTTTGGCATGTACGGTCCACGTAAATATCTAGATCTTGCATTGTACAGTTAATGATTTCTCGGAAGCATTTATAGCAATAATCGATCGAGAATACCCACAGCTTACATATTTTTTCTTTTTTATTACTATTTTAACAATAAGATGTTGCCTTAAATAGAAATTTTTACTAATTGCCAGTTGTTTATTCTATGCAGTTAATCATGTCAAATTAGGTTCTCCTACTTCAAAACCTTTGTTGTTAATATTAGTAATTCAGTACTCTAGTGCTTTTATGCAAGCTATAACTGATTTAGCTAATTGAACTCATGGGTTCAACATGGGCTTGCATTTCTGGTGCCACTAAAATTGTGGTGATTATGTGTTTTCATAATCAAATTTGATTCTTGAAAGAGGTTATTTTTCTTTTCTTTTTCTTTTTGGGGTTCCGATGTTTGGTGGGTGTGCAGTTTGGTTTTTATTTATTTTTGGTGATGGAGAAAGAGTTTCATATACAGGGGAATAGATACTGACCAAGCTTGCTTTTTTACCAAATTGTGCCAAATTGTCATATTTCTGATCGATGTAAAAAGTGAATATACTTTTACAGGAAGTATTAAAAGAGGATGATGAGAAACTGGTTGCTTTGAAAAAGGAGTTGGGGGACGAGGTCTACAATGCAGTAACCACTGCCTTGACAGAGATCAATACTTACAATCCCAGCGGCAGATATGTGATTCCAGAACTGTGGAACTTCAAGGAGGGGAGGAAAGCATCATTGAAGGAGGTTATTCAATATATCCTGAAGCAATTGAAAACACTGAAAAGGAAGCGAGGGTGACTGGTAAATATCTCAGAGCATCTTGAATTCAGTTTTGTTAATAAATGCCAAATTTTCATAATAATTTTAAGAGAGCATAATTAACAATGGAGGAGGAAATATTTCATTTTGTTTCCCAACTGCGACAAGTACCCCCTTCATCAAATGCAATAAATCTGCTGTCCTTGCATGCTTCCAAACCTTTTGTTTTTATAAGTAGACTAGCTGTGAAAACATGAGGTAGTGACTCTATTTTATACCATGGAACTGGTAAAGGCACTTTATGACAGTAAATTACTTAGTTATTATAAAGAAAAACTGTAAATTATTTCTTAGATACCATGTGCTGCTCAATAAAGTTCATTAGAACATCTGAATTCTTGTTCTGAGTATATCCAAAATATTTGCATGTAGTAACCCGCTCAAATGTATATGCATCGAATTAGAAGAATCTTATATATGCTATTAATCTGAAAGTGATAATCATTCTAAATCGATATGACCCATTTGCGTAATCTGCTGAAATTGGATAAGTTTGTGGATGCATTACGAATATAGCAAGGTAAATGTATGTCTTTTTTGTTGGCTGTGTTGTGCACAGTAGAGGGAAAAAAGGCAGTTTGCCTTCAAACAATAGTCCCATATCGCCTAATTTAGTGTATGGATAGTTGTTTAAATTGGTTCTCTTTGTAGAATTGAAGAAACAGCGAAAAAGTTCAGGAAATTACACAGGAAATTATTTGGAAGCTTGTCGGTCTACCGCGAGATCAGCTGCGGTCGATCGCAAACATGCACACTACAGGGTGTATTTTCGGATTTCTGTCCGGTCGACTGCGGCGTCAAGGGCGGTCGATCGCGGACCCTGTAATCGATTTTACGAGTTTCTGTCATTCTGTCCGGTCGATCGCGGAGTGCGGTCGACCACGACTCGGGTCTGAGCTGAGTTTTGGGTTTTCAACCCATTCGTTTGTTGTTTGTATAAAACTCTAAACATGATTAATTAGGATTAAGCAAGGACGTTTTGAGCAGTCTTTGAGAGGATTGTTGCATCCAATTGTGGAGAATTGTTAGAGATTTAGAGAGCTTTATTTTGGGGTTTTGAGTGATTTTGTAACCCTATTTTGTATTCTCTTCATCTCTAATAGTAAGAACTTCCCTCTCCTTGCCCCGTGGACATAGGCAACTTGCCGAACCACGTAAAATTCGTTGTCTTGCTGTGTTTGTGATTTGTGCTTGTGTTTGGTTGTGATTTTTCTCGTTCTTGTTCGTGTGATTCGAGTTCCGTTGCGCACAACAAGTGGTATCAGAGCTTCGGGTTTGGCTTGAGGCTTGTTCGAATGATTCGCTGAAGGATTCCTATTTGGAGAGTTAGATCAACAATATGGGAGAAACAAGCACATCAGGTTCGTCTCTTACGAAGGCGATATAGAGTCTGAACATCAATAATACGAAGATTGATATTCCGAAGTTCGACGGTAAGATCAATTTCGGTTTGTGAAGGTGACAAGTGATGGATGCGTTGGATGCATAGAATTTAGAGAAGACTCTTGAGTTATAAGAGAAACTCGTTGATATGGAGGACAATGTTTGGAAGAAAATGAACAGTAGGGCTTGTGGAATTATTCGGTCATGCTTGACGCTGAATCTTATTTATGACGTGATGAACAAGACGTTGGCGAAGAGATTGTGGAAAACGCTCAATGAGAAGTATCTTACTAAGAGCATTGAGAATCGGCTTTATTTGAAGAAGAGGTTTTATCAGTTCAAGATGAAGAGAGGAGTTTCCATTAGGGAGCATGTTAACAACTTCACAAAATTGCTTTCAGATATGACAAATATGGATATCATGGTTGAGGATGAAGATAAGACGATGTTACTATTGTGTTCGTTACCGGAGGATGATTATGATACGTTTGTTTTTACTATGATAAATGGAAGAACTACTGTTAGCTATAAGGAGGTGATCTCAGCATTGGTAAATTATGAGTTAAGGAAGAGTGACGGTGAACCCTCCGAGAAGGCATCGGGAGATGCATTAGCAGTTCGAGGCTGTAGTCCAAACCGTCACCAAGTCAACCACTCAAAATCGAAGAATAGAGGTGACTATAAGAGTGTTGGTAGAAATTAATATCGTTTTTGTAAAGAAGATGGACATCGGAAGATTGACTGCCCAAAGTTAAATGACAAAGCCGGGAAGAATAAGGGAAAAACTGTACAAGCTTCAGAAGTGAATGTTACAAAAACTGTTGATGAACATTCAGATTCAAATTCTTTAGGCTATTCGTGTCCTGCACTACCGTCGGTTTGCTATGCCGACTCTACAGAGTGGATGTTGAATTCGGGAGTCATATATCATATTTGCCCGAGGAGGGATTGGTTCTTCAGTTTTGAGGAGCTGGAAAGAGGGGATGTCGTGCTTATGGATAATGATCACGTATACCTTATTGGTTGTATTGGTTCAGTCCGGATCAGGATGCATGACGAAGTGGTGAGGGAGTTGAAAGAAGTGAGGTTCGTACCGTAGTTAATGAAGAACATCATTTCTCTTGGTACTTTGGAGGTAGCTGGTTATAGGGTGACCTTAGAGGATGCTACTGTGAAGGTCACAAAGGGTTCTATAGTGGTGATGCGAGGTGTCAGGAAAAATAACCTATATTACTTGAAGGACAAGACAATTACATGAGGTCTGACAGCTTCTATCACTACAGAGGATACTACCACCTTATGGCACATGAGACTTGGACACACATGTGATAAGTTCCTGCAGTCATTAGCAAAACAGAGGATATTGAAAGGTGCTAAGAACTGCAAGATGGAGCTGTGTGAGCATTATGTACTTGGAAAGAAGACTAGAGTAAAGTTTGGCACCGCTATCCACAACACCCAAGGTATATTGGATTATATTTACACAGATGTTTGGGGCCCTTCCAAGCACACATCACTTGGTGGGGCTAATTATTTTGTCACTTTTATTAATGAATATTCCAAAAAGAATTAGGTATATACCCTATGAAGCATAAACATGTGGTCCTAGATATTTTTGTGGAGTGGAAGAAGAAAGTGGAGTTGCAGACAGGTAAAAATGTGAAGACTCTTCGTTCAGACAATGCTGGAGAGTACAAAAGTGAACCATTTCTATAGTTTTGTCGGGATCACGGCATTAGACGATACTTCACAGTTCGAGAGACACTGCAACAGAACGGATTGGCTGAGAGATTGAATCGTACCTTACTGGAGAAAGTGTGATGTATGATGACACAAAGTGGATTGTCTAGATCCTTTTGGGTCGATGCGTTAGTTTATGCGAGCCATCTCGTTAATAGGTTGTCGTGCGTTACGATACAGGGGAAGACTTCTATGGAGCGTTGGTCTGGTTCGGTGGCTAGTGACTATGAGTTGTTTCGGATATTTGGGTGTCTTGTTTATTATCATGTCAGTGATGATAAATTGAATCTGAATGCGAGAAAAACAGTCTTTGTGAGATTTAGAGAAGGTGTTAAATGCTTCAAGTTATGGGATCAACAGGATAAGAAAATAGTCATTAGCAGAGATGTCACATTTGATGATGCGTACATGATGAGGTCTCAAGTTTGTCAGCAGGTGGAGGAAGACCAGATTAGAGAGATATCGCAGCAGGTGGAGGATGATGTGACTCTACCCACTCCAGATAACATTGTATCCATTGAGGCTACTACAGAGATGACACTGAGAGGAGATGAAATGATAGCCGGACATTTAGAGGATACAATGGATGATGAGACTCAGGAGCAGGGTCATGTTCAGGAGTCCATTGTAGCAAATAGACTTAGAATGGTGATTCGTCTGCCAGCTAGATATAATGATGTCACGGTCACATATGCATTACAATAGAGGTCGTTGATGACATGGTTCCTTCTACATTCAGGGAGGCAGAGTCTAGCTCTGATTCGTTCAGGTGGAGGGAAGCTATGGAGGAGGAGATGCACTCTCTTCAGAAGAACGACATTTAGGAACTTGCAAAGCTACCTAAGGGAAAAAAGCTATTGGTTGTAAGTGTGTTTATGCGAAGAAAGATGGATCTTCTATTAGGGACATACAGTACAAAGCCAGATTGGTTGCCAAGGGATATACACAGCTTGAGTGCGTTGATTACAACGATGTATTTTCACCCGTTGTGAAGCATTCGTCATTCGTATTTTATTGGCATTGGTGACACAACTGGATTTGGATTTGACCCAGATGGATGTTAAGACGATCTTTCTACACAGAGATTTAGATGAGGAGATCTACATAACACAATTATTAGGATTCAAAGCTGCAGAAAAGGAAGATTTAATGTGCAAGCTGAAGAAGTCTTTTTATGGTTTGAAGCAATCGTCGCGACAGTAATATAAGAGATTCGGCAGCTTCATGATTGGCCAGTGGTACACGAGGAGCCCATATGACCCATGTGTTTACATGCACAAGTGTCACGCCCCGCTTCGCAAAGTACCAATGAATCGAAACGTGAACAAGCCCGCGATGTATTAGACTGAGGAGAAAAGTACTAGACCTTCTACTCAATCTAATACGCTTAGTATCAAGCAATATAAAGCAAATGTATAGGTCCCCGATCACAGTAGTGAGATTATAATAAATAACTCAGAACTAAATGATACATATCATAATTAAAATATCATCCCAGACATAATATTTGGGTTAAACATGCCCTGAAATGATACATATCACAACTAAAATATCATCTCAGACATAATATTCAGGTTAAACATGCCCTGATACAAATCCATCTAACTGAATACTAGAGAGTCATAATAATACATCAACCAAACAGAAATATAAAGTACCGCAAAAGTAAACTACGGTCATAAACTAACTAAAAGAGGTAACTAAACTTTGACTTGTTCTTCTGCTCCGTCTTCAAGGCCTTCCTGCGGAGGATCCTCTGGCTACTGTATGACTCCGAACTGAAGCTGTCCGTCTTCTAACTCTGACGTATAACCCGAGAGAATAGGAGTACGTCAGCGTGCATGACACACGACAAGATC